GATCATCACTTATATACCCTAATGAAATGAGAATGAATTTTTTGCAGTCTCCCCATAAACAAATAATCAAAGTTTGAGAACTACACACACATATCAATGTTGAGGATTCTCAATGTGTTTGTGTAGTTTTCAAACTTTGATTGACTACCTGTAAACATTTGATTTATATGTTTACCTGTAAAGAATTTATTCTCTAATGAAATATATCACTGTATGTTACTCCAATGTTTGAGCTAATTTCTTTCAGGGTTAAATTACGCTTTATCTTTTTAAACTATTACCTTTGTTTTACTTTGCACCCTCAACTATAAATTTTTTCACATTGCACCATAAAATATCAATTTTGTTTCATATCACTCCAATAAATAATGGTTGTCAATTTTTGAACGGTACATGCACATGTGAGTGGTATGTACTGTCAATAAGCAACTGCTTATTGCACATATGCAAATCAAAAATCAAGAAAAATACTCATACATGACTTTGTCCTTCCTAAGCTCTAAATTTTCTTCCCAACAACCATTTGGTTGCAAAATAGGTAAAATAAAGAAAAATTTGGAGGTTAGTCCCCTTTGTGGACTTATTTGAAGATAAATTCATCAAGAAAACTTGTTTAATATTAAATTTATTTTGATATTCATTGTCCAAAATACCCCTAATAGTTATGTTTAATTACAAAAACTTTGAAAACTAACAACTCCTAAATTTTAGGAGTTGGATTAACATTAAAATTCTCTCTCTCATATCTATGTCCATATACAGAATATGACTATTTATTTCTCTCACATATATATATACACACACACACATAGTAACATTAAAAAAATAGTATCATTCAAATACAAAAAATAGTATCATTTAAACAAAAAAAATTAATAATATTCAAAACAAAAAAATAATAATATTGAGTATTAATATTTGGAAAAATAACATTAGTAACATTCTAACAAAAACAGTAACATGAATAGTAACATGCTCAAAAAATAGTAACATGAACAGTAATATGATATGATATGATATATATATATATATATATATAGAGAGAGAGAGAGAGAGAGAGAGAGAGAGAGAGAAAGGGAGTATTAGTTGTTCTTTGAATTTGAATTTTAAATTTATGTAAAACAATTTATTGGAATATCTTCATTGATAGTGAATTAAGAAATGATAATTTTCAAGTTAGGAAACTAATTTAAAGTTGCTTCAAGGGAAGGGTGTTTTGGAATTTTAAAAAAATAGTAGACTTAACTACTTATTAGTAAGATTAAAAACAGATTCATCCCCAATTAAGTTTCCTTGATAGACTAAACTCATTATAAGTCACTTAAAGATGACCCAACCCCAATTTTCACTAAAATAAAGTAGGCAAAATGATTTTTGGGGTTTCCCTCCCTCTTTTGATAGTTTTTCGAGTTTGTTGTTATCAATTAGAGTGATATGAAATAAAATTGATACTTTAGAGTACAATGTAAAAAATTTTGAAGTTGAGAGTGTAAAAATGAAACAATGATAATAGTTTAGGGGGTAAAATATAATTTACTCTTCTTTCAGCATAAAATTTTAATGAATAAACTACACATATATCTCTCAAATTATGATTTTTATGTCAATTAAGCTCATAAACTTTTTTTGTGTCAATTGAGATCCTAAACTCTCTAATTGTGTCAATTGAGTTCTTTTGTTTGCCTTTGTTAGAGTGTGTCACTCACGTGACTATATGATACAAAAATACAAAAGGGTTCAATTGACATAATTAGAGAGTTCAGGGGTTCAGTTAACACAAAAAAAGGTTAGAGACTTAATTGACACAAGAGTTATAGTTTGATAGTTATATGTATAGTTTACTCCAACAATTTGTGTCACGTGAGTGGCACACTTCTGTTGGAAAATCTAATAGAGACAGACATAATAACTTAATTAATATAATTAGAGAGTTCATAGGCTCGATTGACAAAAAAAAAAAATTATTATGGGGCTTAATAGATACAAGGGTCATAGTGTGAAGGCCATATATATAGTTTACTAAATTTTAATTCTCTTGAGATGAGAAATTGTTCGATGGTTTATTTTTTATGTATGAATTCTATATACAGTTTGTTTTGCATATAAGAAAAGTTGTTTTATTTGAATGTCATTCTCATTCTTAAATATCTTATGCTCTTTTTCTTTTATTTTGGTTATTTTTTATTTTTTTTATTTTGCTGATTTCCTGCATTGCACATGTTTAAGCTAACAAGTAACATCTAATAGATATGGCACTTAGATGAAAGTTTTATTCTTCTAATATTTTCAAAGAACGAAGTCATAGAGGTAGACTAATAGGCATATATCCCACTATCTATTTTTACAGATGGAGGTACTATTTTTATCCAATTTCAAACGTAACTTTTCCAAATCCTAGTCTATATCTAGTGATAGATTTATTCCAAACCTAAATGTTTGTAGGGCCTATAGCCTTAAATTTCATTAATTGTTATTTACTTGGTTAATAGTTACTCTAACTATCCATTTGTCTCTCCTCCTAAGATTGTTATGTCACTAAAAATTGACATATTATTTACAAAATTTTTAGATTTTCATCCGATGGGATCTATGTAGAAGCACATAATGAAAGATTCTTCATTTGCGGCAATGTCAATTGGTCGATGGATTCCGAGTGACTAACTTACTTAATAGAAGACTGATCAACTTACTTTAAAAATGGCTTGAGAGAGAGGGTTTCAAACCTCTTAATGTGTCTGATTGATGGCTTTCCAGAAGAGATTGCTTTCAAGACCACTTACATATACTACAAAGTTAGAACCATGATAAAACATTTGATTATATATCGNTTGATGGCTTTCCAGAAGAGATTGCTTTCAAGGCCACTTACATATACTACAAAGTTAGAACCATGATAAAACATTTGATTATATATCGTACCCTTCCAACAATAGATTTTTTTTTCTTCCGAGGTACAAGCTTTTTTGTCCTTTTGGAGTTTATTATATAGTTTCGTTATCTTATATAGAATCCATGTATTCGTTTGGATTACTCATTACTCTTTTTGTGTTTTCTAATTTACTAATTTTACGTGCAATGCACATGCATCTACTAGTATTACAGCAAAGGTAAAATTAAGGCCAAATAATTTTCTTTATTGTACTTGGTGTTTACATGGCACTTTAATTTCTTTTATCTTCAAATGGTAAAATGGCATGTCTAGGGGAAAATTAAATTCGGATATATGTTTTTGATTATTTTTAGTAGTGTCCCTCCTTTAATTATTGTGAGATTCATGAGAGGTTCCTTGTCTTTTTTTTTGAGGCACACACACAAGGGAATAAATGCATGAGTAGAGCTACAGGGGCGAGGGTGGGCACATTCTCAGCCTCAAATTTTTTGAAAAAATATTATATATATATATATATTCTAAAAATTATAAATATAAATGACCTTATAATTTTCTTATTTCAATTGTTTAGTCTTTTTTATTATATTATAACTTTCTTTAGATTACCTTAATTTTATTATTTACGAATTTTTATAAGTGAAAGTTCTTGCAATTGACCTTCATTTGATTTTAATTTTTTCTACTAGAAATCTTCTCTATTTCTATTCGAGTATTGATTACAATTTTTATTATGTGACAATTGATTTTCATTTTTTTACTATATTTAACTCTTAAACTTTAATTTAGTAGTTTTACTATGCTAATATCTCGGTGATAATATTTGAAACATCGTTTATTGAGTAAATTTATTGGATTGTTAGTAAATAGTTGATATTTTTTAATTACAAAAATGTCTATTAGCTCCACTTTTTAATAATTGTGATAATTAATTATTTTTTTATACATTTATAATATGCATTATTTTTTGGTCTTTTTTTATGCTAAATAGACTTTATGTATCAAATTTAATATAATAAATATAAATATATTATATAGTATGATTGATTAAGAAGAAAAAAATTAGAGTGTGTAATTAAAGTGTCCATCCTAAACAAAATTNTGTATCAAATATAATATAATAAATATAAATATATTATATAGTATGATTGATTAAGAAGAAAAAAATTNTAGACTTTATGTATCAAATTTAATATAATAAATATAAATATATTATATAGTATGATTGATTAAGAAGAAAAAAATTAGAGTGTGTAATTAAAGTGTCCATCCTAAACAAAATTCTTGCCTCTTCCCCTAAATAAATGCATATTTTGAACATATTTTATCCAACATCATATTGTAATTTACCTCTCTCTTTAGANTACCTCTTCTCCTAAATAAATACATATTTTGAACATATTTTATCCAACATCATATTGTAATTTACCTCTCTCTTTAGATGGATTATTTCATGCCTTTATCTCTTTCATTATTCTGTGTTGGGTTTTTATAATTTCTACTATCCAAGTTTTTTATGAAGTAACTAATAAATTCTCCCTCCCTGTCTTTTAACTAATAAATTACATCTCTCTCTCTTTCTATCTCTCTCTTTAAAGTAACTAATCCAAATTTATACAATTTTATCTTTCTTCATTTTTGGAACACCAACTATCTAGATTTCTTATGGGGTAACGAGCATTGTGGGTTAACCAAAATGGGTAATTTAAATGGTAATAAGACGAGTTATAAACTTACACGTCTTGATAGCATTACACTCACATCATTAGAGTAACAAAGTAAGTCAATTTTTTAGGTTTAAATAGAATTACTCTTTGAATTTTTATGAACAAAATAATAAATGATTTTCTTTATCTCTTATTGTTTTTTCCTTGTTTTTGGAACATCTCAATCTAGATTTTTCTGAATTAATTGAAGATGTTCTCTCTCTCTCTCTCTCTCTCTCTCTCTCTCTCTCTCTCTCTCTCTCTAATGTTGATGAGTTGCACCAAGACGTGCAAATCTCAGTTACTTACCTCCTCAAAACCTCCTTTTGTAAGCTGTCCACCCACTCAAGGTTTCATATTACACACGCCAATCTCCCTCTCTCTCTGACCCATACCCACACAGAGCTATGGAACCTCTGATCTATTTGACTTCCCTCCTCCTAATCCTTTCTCTTTTCCTCCTCGTAACTAAGAGATCCCCCAAAAATCTCCCACCAGGTTCCATGGGGCTACCCATAATAGGCCAGAGCCTTAGCTTTCTACAAGCAATGAGAGCCAACAAGGGAGAACAATGGCTCCAAGAAAGAATAAAAAAGTATGGTCCCATTTCAAAACTTAATCTCTTTGGGACCCCAACAGTTTTCCTCCATGGACAAGCTGCAAACAAGTTCATTTATACTTGTGACGACAACACCCTCGTCAGCCGGCAACCGGTATCGGTCCGGAGGATTTGTGGCGATCGGAATATTTTCGAGCTGACCGGCAATGATCACAAATGCATCCGGGCGGCGATCGGATCGTTTTTGAAGGTCGAAGTTTTGAAGAAGTATGTGGGGAAGATGGACAAAGAAATAAGAATGCACCTCCACATGCACTGGCATGGCAAAGAGGAGGTCAAGGTATGTATTTAATTGATTAAATTTTCAAATTAAGTACAAATTCGAGTCAATTGATACCATGGGCACCCCTGCAAACAAAATGGTAAGGCTAAAATTTTTAATTTAAGCATAAATCGAAATTTAGTATTAAATCTAGGCATTACTATGGAGAGAGTCTCTCTCCTTCATTAGTGAGTGACAATAATCCTCCTTTTTAATAAGAGCAATGTTATCGAGAACTAATCAAAAACCTAATTTAATGTAATTATTGAATTAATTATGAATTAAAATATTATGTAGATAGATAGGACATTCTTATGTTTTTTGGAGCATTGAGTATAATATGTCACATAATATTATTGTAAAGCGTTTTTGTGTCATTCTTTTATATTTTCTCTTTATAACATTAGCCACATGACATGAGATTAAATATTTTTCTGTTGGATGTCCTAGACGGTCATCTCACTTGCCTATAGTACAAGAAAATTTGCAATTGCCGGCGGGAAAAGTTTGACAAACACCGATAATCCCTTTTTTCGACAGTTTATCGACGTTTGAAATATGTATCGGTTAAACTGTCATAAAAATTGTACAATTTCATCAATCCAACTCATATACAATTTGTGCTCAACTACATTATACATGAATTACAAAAATCCATCTAGCCAAATTTGATCCACATTGTAATTAAGTTCTAGATAATAGCAAAGAAAATCTTTCCAACCAAATTACAATAATAATCGAAACCAAATTACAAATATACATAATAGTCAATGGAAAATAAAGACTTTTCTGACTATATTACTCATTATTGATAACCTAAAAGTGAAGACAAAAATATTATGATTAAATATAATCATGAAATGGAATAAAATTAAATTAAAGACAACTTGAACTCTTTTTCCCTTTGCAAATTGAATTGATACTTATGTATTGGTATTAATGAATTCTAAAAAAAAAATAAATTCAAAGAATGTCCTAACACTAATTCAATCGGTAAATTGTACTCGTCAGCTTCCAACACCTACAGACTGTGTTTGATTGCTTTAACTTCGGAAGGTTTTGTATCACCACTCAGAATACAAAAAAGGGTCGAGTTCTTTAGCAGCATAGATCCCTGCAATTAGAAATACTTAGAATTTTCACCAATACTAAATACTTACCATCTTCAATGAGCATTCACCAAAGGTAAGTTTGGAAGTTACATAGAAATCAAATTGCTCCATTCAACATCATTTCATTTCGATCGTTGATTTCTCTGTGGAACTGAAGCTTAGAAATCAATTGGAGTATTGTTAGTGATACTATATAAATATTGGAGTGGTTAATTAGACCCCCTTTAACTGGATCAGCTTCTGTTGGATCGAGGGAAAGTTCCATAGGCTATGGAAATTTATCCGGAAAGATCAGCCTCACAAATGTAAGAAAAATAAATAAATCAAATAAAGAGCTGTCGTTGACGCCGATCGACTCCCATTTTAGAGAGATTAACTCTGGTACTCTAATCCATGACTTATAATTTGGATAGATGAACCCTTGTCATCATACTTAATGCCCTATATCGATGTCTCTATCTCTTCTAACTCTCTAAAGAAACAAGATTTTGGTTTAAAAAAAAATAAAACAGGTGATGCCAAAGATGAAGACCCTGACCTTCAACATAATTTGCTCGCTTATACTTGGAATTGAACAAGAGCCAAGAAGAGATGTACTTGCAGAGCTGTTCCAAGAGATGATGGAAGGAATGTTATCGGTTCCGGTGAATTTTCCGTTCACCCGATTCAACAGGAGTCTTCGAGCAGCTGCTAAAACCAGAGCAATAATAATGGATCTCATAGCTGAAAAGAGGATGGCATTGCAAGAAAAAAGGGCTTCTCCTTAGCAAGACCTCATCACTTGCTTGCTTAGCATACATGGTGAAGACAGTTCAGCTATGTTGTCTGATGAGGAGATTGTAGACAATGCCATTATTGTAATGAAAGGAGGACATGACACTTCCACAATCCTCCTTACCTTCTTGATCAGGCTTTTGGCTAATGATCCATCTGTTCATGCTGCTATTGTTCATGGTATGTTCTCTAGGGATATCAAGTTATGTCATGGTCTTATCATATTTGGGTCGTGTCCATTTTGAGTTCGTGCTTTCTGAATGATATCCATCAATGCGTGTTTCTACTTGATCCAAATTCTATCACAACTAATGTAACTTGAGATTGCAGAACAAGAGGAGATTGCTAAGAGCAAGGCTTATGGGGAGCTACTGACATGGGATGACCTTGCCAAGATGAAGTACACATGGGGAGTAGCAATGGAAACTCTAAGGCTGACCCCTCCAGTGTTTTGTAACTTCAGGACCACTGTCAAAGATTTCGAATATGGAGGATTCCTATTTCCTAAAGGATGGCAAGTATGAAACAATCCCTTTGCTTTGATGCTTTGCTTGTTTTTTTAACTTGATATGTGGTTCTATGTTATAAGCATCTTAATTGATCCAAGCAATTAGAGATGAGCGGCTCAATTTTAGCTTATTCAGATTCATTTTTATAAAATGAATTAAATTTGACTAGACTTCTAAGCTTGTTTTGTAAATGAGTCAAATCTCAATAACACATGACTCAGTTCGATTCGAATTTATTTCTACCTAAAATATTTCTAATTTTATCATCAATTCACCCCCATCTAAAAAATGAACGACTCCAAACTTATTTGCATATAGTTTCAAATAGTATACACTTCTCACTCCCTCTCTTATTTNGCTCGACTCGAATTTATTTCTACCTAAAATATTTCTAATTTTATCATCAATTCACCCCCATCTAAAAAATGAACGACTCTAAACTTATTTGCATATAGTTTCAAATAGTATACACTTCTCACTCCCTCTCTTATTTTGAAAATTTTGAACTTTAAAGATTTTGAATTTATTTGCGGCTGCTTGATTTTTGCAGAGGAAAGCTTTGTGTAGTCGATAAATACCTTCTTTTACCAATGAAATTCATTTTATAGTTAAAAGTTTCCCCGGTAAGAACAATATTTCTTGTAATGTGACTGTCAATTAAAAGTTTTGTTGAACAATTAGATCTGTTTCAACTCAAAATGCTCATAAACTTCTGCCGAGTAAAAGCTTAAGCAAGAATCTAAACTCGGCACTCGAGTTTGGCAGCTAAATCTTAGACCGAGCCAAATCTACTCTAACTCGACCAATTCAATTCTATTAACACCCCTACTTCTATGTCATTTAAACTTATACAGATTTAAAAAAGAAAGTAGTAATTAACATATGCTCTTTGTGATTCACACAGGTAGTTTGGGCTGCTTTCAAGACACACATGGATGAGACCATCTTTCCAGATCCATCAAAGTTTGATCCAACAAGGTTTAAGGAGCAAAATCCAGTCCCACCTCACAGTTTTGTGGCATTTGGAGGAGGACCAAGGATTTGTCCTGGTTATGAGTTTGCAAGGATTGAAACTCTGGCAGTGATTCATCACTTGGTCACTTCATTCACTTGGAAGCTCTCTTCTAAACACAATCCTTTCAGCAGAGATCCAATGCCAGTCTTCAAACAGGGTCTGCCAATCCAAATTCACCCCAAAAAAAAAAAAAATCACATAATTCAATGCAATATCAGTAGGCATTAATGAAGAAATATCAAATATCAGTCTGCCTATGGCCACAATACTAAAACAATTAATGCTATCGGAACTTAATATATTGTACCCATTAGGTTAGCAGTGAGTTCCAATGTTATTAGAGGGACCCACTTTTAATCTAATGATAAATTATGTCTCCAAATTAGGTACCAATAATATTTTTGCTTTGGAAATAAACCTTCATACATGAATGTTTTTGAGTTTAAATGGGAGAGATGAGTTGAACTTAAGTTATCAAAAATGCTATTTGGACACAGTGCAGGCCACAGTCAACAAAGTGCTATTTGGCCTGCACTTTGTTGTGGGCCAAGCACTCAATGTTGGCCCAGATCCTGGTATGAGCTAGAAGGCAGGCAATGGGGCAAGCTGGGCCAACAAAAGCAATCTTAGGTGTTTTTTTCTAACCCATTGCTAGCTTAGAGGAGCAATAGAGCAGCAGCACATCAGTTAAAACATGTAATCTGGTTTATTTCTTCCCTTGAGATCACTCATTTGTAGGCGGCAGATTAATAAGATGCAGCCAGGCACTTGTAAACATTACGTGTGGCACAATTCCTTATGCTCATGCGAAGATTTTCCACCAAAATGCTGTGTGTGTGTGTGTTTTGTGTGGCGGAAGGGACAGCGGAGCAGAGGTAGCTACCAAGAGGGTAAAATCCGACAAGGAAAACAGGGCAGAGAATAAAACTAAGAAGTTTTAAAGCTTTGTTTGGGGTCACCAAGTCCACACTCCTATAAGAAGGCATCTGTATCCTGCCTTAGCATTATCAGTNTGTTTTGTGTGGCGGAAGGGACAGCGGAGCAGGGGTAGCTACCAAGAGGGTAAAATCCGACAAGGAAAACAGGGCAGAGAATAAAACTAAGAAGTTTTAAAGCTTTGTTTGGGGCCACCAAGTCCACACTCCTATAAGAAGGCATCTGTATCCTGCCTTAGCATTATCAGTTCCTTCCTACAGATAACTGTAATAACTGGAATGCCCCAAGCAAGAACTGACTAGAAGTTTAGAAAGAATTTTACCTGTAAAATTTTATTTACGCATGAATGAAGAATCAAAAAGTGCCATTTGTTATTCCAATTATACATCGCACAGCGTTCCACATATAAACAGAAAATAGCGGCACACTAAACACTCTACAGACAAGAAGCTGAGACGCATCTGAGAGTTGCTCCCCGGAGTCTTATCACTCACCAGTTTTTGATTCTTTTTGTCAGTTTCTTTTTTATGAACACTTGTTTACAATATGGTGTATGCTCGGATCACCTCAACAATTGGAGCACGGCACAATGGACACTTTCCTCCACCACGAACCAACTCGTTTGCACATTTGGAACAAGTGCACATGTGCCCACATCTGCAAAAGGTTAGAGAGAGAGGGAGCACATATTTCAGTTAAAATACAGTGACAGAAAGATTTTTAGTTCATTAAAATTATGGTGTTTCCGATTTTCCCCCTTTTTTGTAGTGATTACTGATTCAATTAACAGCAGCTTTAGTAAGAGTCAGAAACATTTGTAAGCAAAGAATTGCACAAACACAGACCTGTACAATAAAGAATCAATGTGGCTATCACAACAAACACAGCAAGTTCCTTTCCTGACATGACCCCATTTAGATCCATCTTCTGAGGTCTCAGCCATGCCTGCATATTTCAACCTTTAAGACTCTTTGTTTTTGATAGATACAATGAGTTGATTTCAAGAAACTAGCCTAGAAGATCAACAGTAACATTAACAATTTTAGAAATATGAAATGTAAAACAAAATGTAAGGAAAGAAAAGTAATAGGAATTTCCCAGGGCAGCTGTATTTTTTGTTTTCCATCCTATAGAAAGCATTCTACAGAGCAGACGATACTTATATTGAGATTGTACACAAACCTTGTCCATCTGCAGATCGATTCAGAGCAGCAGAGACTTCCTGCCTAACTGAGCGTTGCAACTCCAGTTGCATGTCCATGCAGGCCTCCAACATTCTCTGCATGTGACTCATACCTTGCTGCAGCCTAGCCATGTCTGCTCTCAGATCATTGATCATCTCCCACTCCTGGTCCAAATCATCACCACACTATTTAGTACAGGCTTGGAAGTGCACACAAATACATATAAAACCAGAAATAGGAAGTGACATTACTAGGTCAAACTTTGGGGGAAAAGGAAAAATCCCAGAAATTGTTAAGAAATGCGAGTTTTGAAATGCCCGCTACAATGCCTCAGTATGAACACTGAAAAATCCAGGTCCCACTAAAACATCGATGAAATATAAGGATTGGTAATTGATGCATTCTAATTTCACTTAGTTGAAAGCATGATTAACAACTAAAAATAGTCTAGCAAAAAGGACAAGGGTGCTTATAATAACCAATCTCAAACCTGTATGGCTCAAACCCCTCAACCGTCCCCCAGTTGCATGTTTCGTGGTAAAGTCAACTCTTTAGTGGGGCAATTAAAGATGATGAGTTTATACTACAACAAACTGCAACATTTTCCTAACAAAAAATTATAAATAAGAAACGTGGTGCCTGAAATTAAACTGATTAAAAATGCCCTCAAGGGAGATTGGCCAGTTCATAAGTTGAAGGCTTTAGTACCAAGTACCATAGGTGAAAGACCACTTACAAGTTCAGAACGATGCATGGTGTGTCGAGGCCAAGCAGAATGATGTAAATCCTGGTGCCAAAGTGGTGGGTCTGGCGGGGGCACCGGAGGGGGTGGCAGTCCCACTGAAATTGGACCAGTAGCATCTTGCCGATCCTCATTCTGATCATCTCTCAGCTCCACCTGCTCCCGTTCTGGTGAAGCAGGAGTGGGCAAGTTTCTATGCAGATCCCAATCAATGGGAGCATGACCCTGCCTTTCCACATAAGACTGAATCAATTGGTCCAAACTCTCACGGAAACCACTGCGAAGAAGATTTGAAACACTCCTCCTACAACAAACAGAAAATGTAATTAAACGTAAAATCAAAGTAATGCATATCGATCAAATGCATACACTAACACAATATGGCCTTAACAAATCATTGGATACCTGCTTAAGAGTTCCCTGAGTTCCATACTGTACACATTATCATCATCAGGTGGGTGGAATCTATTGACTCTTCTTACAGGAATAGACCGCCGCAATCTTGGGGGATCCGAAGGACCTTCTGACCAAGTGTCCACAGCTTCCCGAGAACCATCCTCATGCCAAGCCTCATGGGTTTCTTGCAGATGACCACCTTCACCATTTCCTGGAGTCACCCGGGGCCATTCATTGACTGGATTTTCCTGCCAATTTCCATTGACATCTTCCACAGTCCCCTCTCTCCATTCATTGAGTTCACCGTAGGTTGACGGATGAGAGTTCACTCTCTCATCCTCAATATTTTGTTCCTGCCAGTNGGCCATTCATTGACTGGATTTTCCTGCCAATTTCCATTGACATCTTCCACAGTCCCCTCTCTCCATTCATTGAGTTCACTGTAGGTTGACGGATGAGAGTTCACTCTCTCATCCTCAATATTTTGTTCCTGCCAGTCTCCTTGATTAGCAGATGTTAGTTGAGTTATAACTTGAACAACAGTGTTGTCTTCCAAATTTACTGCATGGTCTGACATCTGGTAAGCGTCACTTTCCTGACTTCTAGGTTGTGACTCCTCATGGTTTTCATGTTGAACCTCCTGTGAAGGGTTTGTAAGAGTCTGATCATTTCTAGAATCAGTGTTGTTATTGTTAGATGAGGTTTCAGATTGGCTGCTTACTTGACCACGAACAATATTTTCTAATCTGCAACGGAACCCTTCCCTGAAAGAGAAGTCACCATGTCATCCCAAGACAAAACAAAAAATTCTTACACTTAATATATGACAAACGTGTAAACAGAATAATAAAGATGGCCTCTCATAAAGTATGAGGAAACCTTCCTTGACTACAACAACATCATTAGATGTTTCATGCTTTGATGAATGATAAAGTTATTACAAGAGAAACAAAATATAGTTAAAAAATTAACTCGAGCAAAGAAAAGAATCAATAGACCGGAAAAAATAATTGCTACCAGATGACTGCCTANTAATAAAGTTATTACAAGAGAAACAAAATATAGTTAAAAAATTAACTCAAGCAAAGAAAAGAATCAATAGACCGGAAAAAATAATTGCTACCAGATGACTGCCTATTTTGGGATAGGTAAGGATAATATTATTAAAAACACAAAACAAAGGGACTGACACCCTGATACAACCTTCATACCAACCAAAAAAGAAATCTACCTAAATCAGATACATCCTGCCCAAAGACTCCATAAAAGAATCAAAGAAACCAGGGTGTGACTCGATGATCCATGAAGAAGTGTTAGCACAAGCGTTTTGAGCTTGCTAGAAGATAAGGTCACAGCATAAGACTTTCTCACTGGCCAAATGCACCAAACTCAAACAAAGAGGAGCTGTGTCCCCTTTTTTCCTCTCCTCCCACGCCACAAGTGAAAATATTTAAATGCCAGAAATCTTAATCCAGTCCATCGAACTGAGAACAAGCCATGACATTGCATCTATATAAGTGTGAACATCAGTAAATGATAATTATTGTGTAATGTGCAAGTGCATGTGAACATGACCTAGCATGTCTGCACAGACACACGCAGAATTGGTAATATGTGATCTTCAAATGGGGTTGTATTGCTTTACTGGAAAATAAAAGAAATGGATTTAAGCAACGAAAATCATTTATTTACTCTGGTTTTTTCTCATTGTGTTTTTGTTTGATATCGGAAAGGGTGCTTTGAATTGAAGTCATCTTTCAACCTAAAAATTAACTAAAGTCCACCACATAAACATTGGAAAGAAATATTACTTTGATGGTGAATAGGATATATCACTTGATTCTTCAGTCACTTACTTCCTAACACATGTTCCAGTCACTTCTCGACCGAGACGTAGTTTCAAGTTTCAACATCCATATTCTTTGAAATATACTCTCTAATCTCATATGGTTTTAATAAACTAGTTCTGCAAATAGTGCATATTTACTCAAAACATTGTATTATAAATTGCATATATTAGATATTTATACCAAAGCCCACTAATATTGGAAGCTGCTTAAGCATACATATTATTTTTTGACTCCAAAATACCCCATTGGTGGAGAAAAAACTAAAAAAAAAAAACTAGAAATAAGATCCCCGTTAACTGCTTAAGCATACATATTATTTTTTGACTTCAAAATACCCCATTGGTGGAGAAAAAACTAAAAAAAAAAAAAACTAGAAATAAGATCCCATTAACCTCCAATAATGAAACACCATTTATCATTGTTCTTTTTCTTTATCCTAAAGTAAACAATACATCTAATGTTGATGTTTTAAATCACAAAAACATATATCCAGGCTCAGAGGGTCACATTGATGCATCTTTATATACCCTTCTGATCAATGTAAAGATTATCTAAACACTTAGTGTGATAAAAATGGCAGTAAAATCCATTTTAGCCATAAGCCAATGATTAAATTGTTCTTGTGGTCTTGACCTTTATTCTACAATTATGACCATCAACAATATCCAGGGGGAAAATCAACTGACAACTACTGCATTAACGAACAAAAATAGACAAAACATGTCCTGGATCATACCAACACATGCAAACTCTCATTAAATATTTTTACCCCTTGTAACCATCATATATAACACAGTATTTTACAGCCGGTAACCAGAAAAAAATATCGCCCTAACTGTATCGATCAATAGAGTGAAGTAAACACTAAGAAAATAATATTGAAAATCTAGATCACATACCTCAGCCCAGAGACAGTGTGTCTTTGTCTTAACTGAACTAATTCACTTGCTGCCATTGACGGTGGTCTCTCTTCTTCAACAGGTCTCTCATTTCGCAAGAATCTGCCTCTAAGTAGTGACTGCATAAACATATATCGTTTCAGGTCATGCTTGTTTATCCTGTAGCAAAAAGATTCACAATGCTTGTTCCATGTAAATTATGAGAACGGGGAATTCTCAATGAAAACATTTTTACCAACAATCACACGTGATTACAACATATGCTTGTATTCAAAATTAGTTAATTCAGAGAACCTTTATTATCACCTGTTGCTGGCTGGAGTTTAATAAATATAGTATTCTTACATAATAAAATTTAATTAATAAGTACACCGCTTTTATTTTTGTTTTGCTGCAAAGTGAGAAAGACCTTAACATACTTCACCAAAGGTATTTCATGAAGCACTTAATTTAGCATGGGTTCAAGTTCATATTTCAGTTGTCAATAAGTCTAACAAGCATGGACCCATTTCTCATATAAAGATAACAAGACAAATTTCATAAAAATAGGGCAGGAGTGCTGGGTGAAATGTTTTGATAATAAATTTGATACATTAAACAGGCTTTGCCCTTGACTACTAAGAATACAGCATAATAATGTTGGATTTCAAAGTAACTGGATTTTAGAATAAAGATAATAGTGTTGGAGGGGAGGGGGAGCTACATAACAAGTTTTTAAATCTGGTATACTTAAGGCCGTCTATAAATATGCTTTTCTCACAATTCAGCTTTATGTAGGAAATCAATTATTTTTGGCACAGCCAAATGTCCAGAGTAGAAAATACACCAGAAAAGTTATTTCCCTATAATGTCAACAATATCAGAACATCCACAACAAATCTTGAAAAAGGGGCGTATAGTTGTTTCCCCTGCTTCCTACACATCCATGCTGAATAAGTCGCCAACCTTCTGGATTTGGCCCTTTTTAAAACCCTGAGTTTCAGAAGTAACTTGCATACTAGAAATAAAATCACAACTTCAATATCATATTATAGAAGCATATGATTTGGATATTAAGTAAAAATTCCTTCCTTTACAACATAATGAAAAGTAAAACAATAGGAGACACACAAGTGATGAATAACAGCATCAATGCAAAGCAACTGACCTGAATGCGGTTGCGATGAGCAAAGTCAGAAACAGCCCGATGTTCCACCAAACTTTGAAGTTCTCTCTGTCTCTCCCTCTCAATCCTCACAAGCAAGTCAAGCAGAGCTTGTCTTCCCCGCAACCTCAGCATGTCCCGGCGAATATGCTCCGGCTGACCTTCATCTTGATCAACAACCAACCCTTCACGAACTCGGTCAACTTGGGCACCTGATCCAGCAACTTGTTCTCCCCTTCTACCGCTACGAACTCNGCCTTCCCCGCAACCTCAGCATGTCCCGGCGAATATGCTCCGGCTGACCTTCATCTTGATCAACAACCAACCCTTCACGAACTCAGTCAACTTGGGCACCTGATCCAGCAACTTGTTCTCCCCTTCTACCGCTACGAACTCCTCTCTGCTGACTTGTTGTCTGCATCCACTCCCTCACAATTCTCACCCTTTCACGCTCAGTTTCACCAAGCCATTCTGATCTTGGACTATCGATCCTTTGAGGAACATTCGATGAGTGCTCACTGATTCCGCTCTCCATCCATCCCCGAACAATTTGTCTAACCCTCTCCCGTTCAACTTCACCAAGATCAGGAGACTGCTCACGACTAGAACTATCACGGTCCCCATGTTCATTCTGTGGGCCAATCTGATCATGAGACCAATTTCCATAGTCATTCTCACTCTCACTAGCATCCTCCAAACTACCCGGATTATCACTCCCTCGGCTTTCAGACATATTCGTATTAGAGTCTACACTCCTCTGCTGTCTAAGTCTTTCCCTCACCCTCTCCCGGGCACGATTCAACACGTGCTCATCCTCCAATTCACGCCACATTTGCAGAATAGACGATGCCCGGGTACTCGGCCTCTCGACATTACCCTGTCGCCTCGAAGTCGGTGACTGAGACTCCCTCAAGAACGACGAATCAAGCATGGAAACTGTATGCAAACCAGCAAGTGCCATCAGTTCAGTCTCCCGATTTGTCCTCTCAATCGTGGTTATCATCTCCTGTGCCTGACGGGCAGCCCATCTGCTCAAAATCCGCGAGTGGCGCCTCCTGGCAGCAGAAGACTCGGCCAGGTCATCCCCCTCAAGATCCGACCTTCTCCTCCTCCGCAAAAGCTGATCACTCTCATCATCCTCATCTTCAGTATTACGATTAGAACTACACGACCCGAATGACATACATTCGTCCAAATGCCCTCGCATTAATTCCTCCAATCCCCTCTCGAATTCAGCCCGAGCACGGGCTTCATCGGCAGTGCTCTCAACCTCGGGCTTTTGTTGAAGCTGTTGCTGAACATCTGTCATCTTCACCCACTAACCCTAGCAAACAAACCCTTCCCACCACCCCAATACTCAATACCCACCAAACGAACCCTAATTCACACTCTACGCAATACAAAGAACCCGCAGTTTCTATACATGAAACATTCAACATAAAAACCTATTCCAAAATCGGAATCATAACTCATTGAATTTGTCCATAAACTGTGCGTCCACATATCGAAATCGATGGTTCCACACATATCACCTGATCAAATGCAAAGTTGTACAAGCACCAATGATAATAAAATTGTAAAACACTAAACTTGAATCAAATCTCGAATAATTAGTAGGCAATATGGGATTCGTAGAGGAATGAAGCAAGGATCGATTGTGAATATGTATGTCAAAAGGATATTAAAACTGATGGACCAAAAAGAACGTACCTGTGAAGCTGTTTGTGTTCCTCGCTGGTAGTGCGAGAAACGAAACGCTTCCATTTGCAGATATATTATATAGAATGGAGAGAGAAAGAGAGATGGAAATGGACACCAGTAATTTTCTTTCAGAAAGAAGGGGAGAGAGAGAGAGAGAGAGAGAGAGAGAGAGAGAGATGAGGTGAGAAGTTATAAATAGCAGAGAGGGAGAGAGTGGATATTTTTTTTTTTTTTTGTGAAACAGAATTTGTGTTTTTGAATTTTTTTTTTTTGGTTGTTGCGAGAGGAAAGAGCGCGAGGACAGAAACGTCGTCTGATTGTGATTAGGGCTATTAATCAAACTGAGCTCCTTGAGTTTGGCTTGAGTTTAACTCGGATTCGATTTTTTTAAGCTCAGTTTGGGACTTGTTTGACTAACAACCCTAATTATGATATTGACACGTCATCGTCTTCTCCAATTATTATTAATTGTAATTCTTTTTTTTTTGTGGTCGGGTTTTAGTTATGAGAAATGTTATTGGGACCTAATTTACTAACATAATTTGTTGACCTAATTTATTGTGACGTTTGAATTGACTGTAAGTCTCATCAAACATTAAAACTTGATGTTGATCTAATGATTCCTATAAAGCCACTTTTGGATTGATTATAGGCCCCATCAAACATTAGAACTTAGTGTTAATCTAATAATTTTTATAAAATCNGTTTGGCTTGAGTTCGACTCGGATTCGGTTTTTTCAAGCTCAGTTTGTCTTCTAAACGAGCCTGAATTTGAATAAATTTTTAGGTTCGTTCAGAAAATAAGTCCTACAAATTCGGCTAAAACTCGACAAGTTCGATTTGTTTATGTGCAAATATTCGGGCTCGACTCAAGTTCGGCTCGTTCAAATTCGACTCGTTTTCTAAACGAACAGAATTTGAACAATTTTTAAAGCTCAATTAAGAAACAAGTTTTTTCAAGTCGACTCGAATTCGAGTCGGACTTGTTCGACTAACAACCCTAATTATGATATTGACACGTCATCGTCTTCTCCAATTATTATTAATTGTAATTCTTTTTTTTTTTGTGGTCGGGTTTTAGTTATGAGCAATATTATTGGGACCTAATTTACTGACATAATTTGTTGACCTAATGCATTGTGACGTTTGAATTGACTGTAAGTCCAATCAAACATTAAAACTTGATGTTGATCTAATGATTCCTATAAAGCCACTTTTGGATTGACTATAGGCCCCATCAAACATTAGAACTTAGTGTTAATCTAATAATTTTTATAAAATCACATCATTATGTCGGTAAATTAAGTCAAATTTTTATTTTCAAATAACATTATTCTTTAGTTATATATTATTGTTATTCTTTCTAACTATTAATTATTAGGGTAATTTGTGTCTCGAGGCACGATATAATATGAATAATTTTAAGATAGATATTGGGTGGTTGTTAGATGAGTCTATTTAAAATCGTAAGATTAACTTATTGAAATCTGACGTGTTTTAATTTATAAATTATCTTAGCATTTTTCTATATCAAATTCTTTCAAAGCCACAGGAAATGCACCATCTTACACAACACTGTTGATTTCAATACCCAAAGTGGGTAATTATTCTACTGATAAATGGGTGACAATCAACTCATGTCTTTGGTCTAATTAGTAATAATTATCAATTCGAACACAACATGTTTATTTAATAGTATTAAATCACCTTCTTTTGTTTTTTCTTTTTCACATTACCCAACACACATTTGCATACATTCGAACTTCCAAAAATCATCATATTTGTACGAACAATTATATTANTTCAATACCCAAAGTGGGTAATTATTCTACTGATAAATGGCTGACAATCAACTCATGTCTTTGGTCTAATTACTAATAATTATCAGTTCGACCACGACATGTTTATTTAATAGTATTAAATCACCTTCTTTTGTTTTTTTCTTTTTCACATTACCCAACACATAAACGTATGTAAGCTTGAAGGTTTTTAGTAGTATAAACATGCTTGTTAATATAAAAACGAATTGACATGCAATATCACAAATCAAAGTGGGTTGAAGTTCGAAAACCCCAAAGGAACCACCTTATTAAACATGTCAATCCAAACATAAATCTCTCAATAAACTTGACAAAACTTTTAATTCAAATTCGTTAATTATATGTCGTATCATTTTCATACAAACGATGGTTTTAAATATCACATTTTTTTGCTTAGATCGTGCTGAAAATTATCATATAGCTTGATGAGTGACAACCCCTTTAGAGCAACTCCAAAGGGGAGTTGCACTAAGGGTGGTAACCGCTAAAATATCATCCTAAATATTATACTAACGAATTAGTCCTACTCGAGTTGGGCACCATTGATTCTCTTAAGATTACATCAACCATGCGAGAGGGGGTGAATATTTGTCAAATGCAAAACTTAAATCTTTATATCCTTTTTCTTTTTTTTGGAATTCTATTGTGCCCTCTTTTGGGTATCTATTCATCGCTCCGTAGTTGATTTGTCCTTGGTTATATAAAAATTGTAATGGTTAATTTTTTATTAGGTTTTAAAATATGCGTATTTTGTCAATTTGGCCTTCACTGTATCAATTTTNTGGTTAATTTTTTATTAGGTTTTAAAATATGCGTATTTTGTCAATTTGGCCTTCACTGTATCAATTTTGTCAATTTAATCCCTTAAATATTCAATTTGCATTTAAATTGTCCTACGTAAATAGACTGTTCAATTTTTGACGGAGGTAGCCATATGAGACACGTGATCACTCTCATCAAAAAAGATAACGGATTTTTTGGTTGCGGATAGTTAAACATGAATTGAATACTTTAAGGATCAAAATAATATAATGGAGACCAGATTGACAAAATTTGTATACTTTAGGGACTAAATGTGCTATCAACCTTTTATTTATTACTATAGTTATCTACTATTTTATATCCAAAAAAAAAAAAAAACATTGGGGGATTTGTAAGAAAATTTTAAGACTTCAGCACCGTTGGCCAAGCAATTCAATCATATTTACATGTTTCATCTCATAGAAAAAAATAGTAAAATTAATTAGCAAACTTAAAAAAAAAAAAAATCTGATTTGCCTGACCTATCAAATATGCCCCTTTCACTGTTTTTAGGAGGGAAAAAAAGAAGTTTGAAGGATGAAAGTTCCTCCTTCGTAACTCGGAAGCTTCCTTCCAACCAAGAATTTGTATCTTTCTTTGGGAAACTTCCTAGCATCCCTCAGTATTCCAAGATGTTTTCTCTCAATTATCAACCAAATTTTCATGGACTTGCTGCTGAATTTTAAAAGTCTTGTAACTTTTAGTTTCTTTTATTCACTTTTTCTTTTTTTTGGTTAGAGAAAAAAGGAGGGGCGGCAAGTAGATAATAATTTCCCCTCGGCATGACTATAAGAGTTTTCTCCACCGTGAAATATCCGCCCGATCTGAGCCATAACTATTAATACTTGGAAGGATAGTCCGTCACTACTACACTATTAAAATCAAGTAGAAAATCGCGTTACTCCCATGAATCGAATCCGGTTTGATAATCATATAAAAGTCAATAACGATCCTAAACTGGTACAACTTACCATTAAACCACCAGCTCAAATGGTCTTTTATTCACTTGAATTCTAGTGCTTTCAATAGAGTTTATAACATAAACTGGTGTCATCTTGACTTGGTGAGAATAGAATCTCTCAAAGAGCAAGCATCAGAATGCGAATTTCATTATCATCGCTTAACCATGGAAAAAAAATAAAAATAAAAAACTCGAGTTTAAAGACAATGCGCACTCAACATGCCTATCATATGGTTTATATCTCATTAGAAATGACTGATTTTTGTTGTCGAGTCTGTGACCTATGGTTTGTGTGAGTTAATATTGACAATCATTATAAATTTGGGAAAAATTAACTAAGTTCCAAGAAAAAGTAGTGAATTATAGTGGGTGTAATAATTGTATTAGAGTGGAGGAATAAATTTCATTGGAATAATTAGATTGTGGAATTGGGTATAACTTTTTTTTTGGCAAATTAGGTGAGTGAAGGAAGGGAGCATATGGAAGTGAGCACGAGGGAAATCAGGGCTTTGTCTTACTCTTACGCAAATTGGGGGTGAGAGGGGAGGATGTTGGAAAGCCTTTTTCAATGGTGAATGATGTTGAAATCTGTACTGTGTACTACTCTAAAGGTGGCCATGTTCAGAGCCAACCAGCTTTTCTTCAGAATATACCTTACTTCACCACCGTTGTTNGTGAATGATGTTGAAATCTGTACTGTGTACTACTCTAAAGGTGGCCATGTTCAGAGCCAACCAGCTTTTCTTCAGAATATACCTTACTTCACCACCGTTGTTATTAAATGGAGTGTCAATCCTCTCCTCTCCTCTCCTCTCTTGTTATTTGTCAATCCTCTCCTCTCCTCTCTTGTTATTTTTATATTGTATCATTATTTTTGATTTGTGTCGTGTGTTTTTGTTAATAAAAAATTATTTAATTTTATAACAACTCATAAGATATTACGTAAACAAAATTAAAAAAATCAATTTTCTACTTATATTACTATTTAATTAATCATGTTTAACCTTAATTTGNCTTGTTAATAAAAAATTATTTAATTTTATAACAACTCATAAGATATTACGTAAACAAAATTAAAAAAATCAATTTTCTACTTATATTACTATTTAATTAATCATGTTTAACCTTAATTTGATCTATTTATTAGTCGTATGATTTTCATTTTTCGTGTCAAGTCATGATCATATCAAGGCGTAAAATGAACACTCTTAGTTGTTAAGTCCTAGTAAGTTCGGGGTATACTTTGATTAGATTTTCTCCTTAGTAAATCATCNATGTTCAGAGCCAACCAGCTTTTCTTCAGAATATACCTTACTTCACCACCGTTGTTGTTAAATGGAGTGTCAATCCTCTCCTCTCCTCTCTTGTTATTTTTATATTGTATCATTATTTTTGATTTGTGTCGCGTGTTCNTTGTTAAATGGAGTGTCAATCCTCTCCTCTCCTCTCTTGTTATTTTTATATTGTATCATTATTTTTGATTTGTGTCGCGTGTTTTTGTTAATAAAAAATTATTTAATTTTATAACAACTCATA